ATTTTCAGTATGTTAGACTGTTCTTTTGACTCGGTCGCCGAATGACAAGGGCGACGCCATGTTTGTTTGTAAACACTGAAAGTAGTCCATACTTGACCTTTGATATTTGCATCTCTATCCGCATATGACCCCAATGGATATCGTTTTTATCCGTTGGCTTTATCCTGCCGAAAAACCTACCCATTATATGATAAAAAGAGATTACTACACAAGGGTCTGTCAGATACCATTGATCTTACAATGAGTTGTTTCAAAACGTATTTAACGAGCGAAAGCGAGTTAGATACGCTTTGTAACAACGAGTTGTAAGATCAATGGTATCTGACAGGCACGAGTGCAGTAATCTGTTTTATTACACACCCTAAAACCGCACCTTTTTAGCATCAAACCGATGCATTTTGTCTATTCTCATGATTGCAGTAGCGCATTAATACAAAACACCATTGTCATAAGTGACGTCATCCTATGTGCTGCTTACTACTCATAAATAATGTGACCCTACACAAAAAGGTTTCCGTCATATCTGTGGATTATCAAGGCGATGATAAAAATGCAAACTAGACAAAAACAAAGAACACACTGGGTGCCAAGTTGAAAGTTTACACCTCAAAGAAATGACCAAATATGTACAACAATGTTCACTTCCGTATGACATCACTACCGGTGACCGACTTTTACAAAATGGCGTGTTCACTGGCAACAGTAAGCGGGATTTCCAGAGGAGGATTTTCGTTGATTGAGGGATCGAACGCACATAAATGTGTTGCGTAAGTAATCAGAGACATTCTGACAATCTGCGTACTGTTATTTGTTTACCATGTTTTCCAATGTAACAAAAAGAATTAGTCAGAAATGCAGATAACTACCGTCATCGTTGTGCGTGATTTAGCGTCAGTCATGGCGCCACACAGGACGGAACTTTTACGGCTTCTGTTAAATTTACCACATCCTTGTAATGTATATATGTGTAATTCCATAATAAGTGCAACGATACTCTTCCCATGAATATTTTCAAACGCGTGATCGAGCCAATGTAAGACGGAAGTACCTAAAAAATGCTACACAGTGTAAAATCTGAATTTTGCTTTGTTTACATTTCAGCAAGTAGTTTTCCGAGCACAGTTTTCGTTTCCATACCTAATGTATTTCTCATGATTTCACCTCGATAATTTGCATTGGTGACAAAGACCATTTATCCATTGTTTCGAAAATGTATGAGGAATTCATGGATGCATGTATAGCAGCTGAGTTTGAAATATACCTGATCGAATAGGCGTCTCATAACCGGCATTTTGTAAACACAATCCAATATGGTGGAAGGTACACTTCGGCGTTCGTGTACGCGTATTTTCCCAAACATTCTAAGCGATTCTCGGCTTATCAGCGACGTTTCAGAATTATCGTTAGTGATTTGATACCCGTGATGCTATTTTTCTACTTCAGTTATTCGAGTAAATATCCGATATTTAGATTCCTAAACACACAGTAAATATTTTGCGAGATTTACAATGTACCTAATTTCCAGAAGTCACTTTCAGTAATTTTGAATTGCCTAAAATGACAGTAAATGATAAACAGAAGGGGGAATTCAAAACTGTGAAGTGTATTAGTCTGCGTGATGTATTTTGAATTTTATTCAACTTCGAAGTGAGTGTTGAAGAGGAGGGACATATGTGTCGCTGTGGCATCCAGGGGGTTTACACTCTGAAAAAAACGATAATGTTGACATAACAACAGATAATGTAACTGAATGATTAAAGACGGGGACGAGTTTGTTTATTTTTATTATTGATTACACGGTCCTGTTGTTCAATACAGACGTAGGTGAACATTCGACTGAAGCATGAGCAACTTATGAATGACTTACACTCAGGAAAGTAGTCCGTCATCATTTGACCCCAGGTCATCACCATGGAGTAGCTATTCAGGGGCCTGGAATTCGATCTCACACACATGTTTGATACCAGTTTTCTCAAATGGGTTTCTGACCCACAGGTGTGTAAGAAAGAAACTATGAACCGTGACATCGAGGCTGAACACCAGATCCATTGTGGCGTGTTGAACAACTATCACAGGTTGTTCGCGGTCAATTCCGTCCCGGAATCCCAAGAGGGGAACGAAAGGGCGTCCTACATGTGGTTGTAAGTCGTGGCAACAAATGGCACATAAACCTGAAGCTGTACCTTCATGTTTTAGGGATGAGCTTGTTTGTTTTACCGGTGTTCATTCAGTTGTGTTTATTGATTCATCTAACAATAACACAATTCGCATAGGGTAAACAGACACATTACCCTACTCCCTTGACGACTTGACTCGTTCGTGTTGTAGTGTCATTCTTTGCAATTCATTGTAGGTATTAACATATTGTCATGACGCCAAAGAGATATACAATTAGATACAAAACCATTCCCGCTGTACTCAGATGGTGTTTATACCATAATTGTGGCACGATTAGATGGACAACTGAGATATGTATCGATTGTTTTGGTATTGAATGTTTTTTAAAAATGGTTGGACAGGTTAATTCATTGTGAACCACGGTGTTTACAAACAGAATGTTATTTATAATTGTGGGCTTATTATGCTCTTGCTTGTGTCTGTCAAGACAACACGTGTGCACAGATGTGAACAGATTCCCCCAACTGAACAACAACTACACGGTGGTTGGTCTGCCTTTAGAGACTATTACTGTGGGAGGCATGTTGGGCTGTGTGCGAGAATGTCAAATGATGGCAACATGCAAAGCTTTCACTTACAAGAAGACAAGGAACTGCAGTATGTACGCCCAGTTTGAGTTTTCTTCACCAAACAACGTTGACGTCAGTGATGTTACCTCCATTATCAGCGACTGGAACACTGTGCAGGTATGTCATGTTAAGATGACGTGTTTGTCAATTCACCAAGATGTTGTCCGGAACCTCAAATTGTCCTGTTTTCTTCACTATTCCTTAAACAAAGGTAATGATTTTAGTGACAGGAAGTGGCCAATTGTGTGTTTCTCATTAGAATGATTTTGTTAATTTTGGTGCTTCCATCTCTGATGCGTACTCATGTCATAATACTTGTAGTTGTTCAGTTGATTAAGTCCTCCTGTAGATTTTATTGTATTTTGAGATTCCTTTGGTCGACATCGTTTTTGCTGCGACTCTAGATATCATGCTGATGTCACGGTTTCTCTGCCAAATTATGTTTCCAGTCGATGCTATCCTGCTAACGGCATACTTCTTTGCCAGAATTGCCCTTCTGTGAATACATCTATTTACCAAAGCAATCTTTCTGCTGGAATGTTTTGACCACCAACGTACTTAACAAGCAGATTTGTGTTAAAGGGCAAGTTCACACGGAAATTAACCTATTTTTCTTGTACTTTTTCCACATTAAAAGTGTTAACCTAGAAGTGTCATAGACAAAAATATAAAAATATCACAATTAATTAACATATTTTTCGCATTAAAACGATTTATATTTTTCACATTTACCAAGTGTTCTATTTCCACAACAAAAACACCATGGCTTATGCCCCTTGCAATATGACGTCATTGGTGCCAATTGATAAACATTATGACGTCATAATGCTTTGTTAGAGCCGCTTCACGTGGTGTAGGTCTAGGTGTGTGATTCTAGCGTCTCAGATGCCAGCCAGCATAGTGTTATGCTGAGTCACCACTGCGCCGGAGTGTGTCGTAGGCCATGTTGTTTTACCGCAAACTGGTACTTGATATCTTTTGCGTTGAGAATAGACAGGGACCCAGTTGAATTGGCACCAATTACGTCATAATCTAAGGGGGATAACTCAGGCCTGTTTAGCTCGAAAAACGAAGGCCTCATAACGACAGATCATTTTCACACTATTGTGAGCTTCCTACTTTCACTGTGAAAAAAATGAGTGTATATTTTCAAACACAGATACTAATTAATTCTAAAATTGCGTTTTGTTTAGAAAAAGAAAGAAAGTGATTTTTGCGTGTACACTTCCCCTTTAAGATTGTCGGAATCATACAGTGGACAGTTTGACAGCCCAACACGATGCAGTTGAGCATGATTGGGGAAACCTCGGTACTGACGTAGTGCTTATAAATCCAGAACAAAAGCGTCTGAAAGACCATAATCATAGGATTTTGGTGAAGCGGCATTTTCGACAGCAGAGCCACGAACCATATGTCCCGCTGCCATTAGAGTCCTGCCAGCTGTGTCAGTTCATGACATGCATGGTGCACGGGTGGCCCAGTCGTCTAAGGCACGCCAGAAACGTATGATTGTGGGTTCGAATCACGGTTCGCCCCCATAATGTTTCAATGTTTGTCAGAACCATATCCGTGCTCGTGGGTTTCACCGAAGTTGTAAACGTCTGAGACCTGCATCACTTCGGGCTTTCCACCCACATTAAGCTGATACGCCGTGATATAACGCGAATACTGTTAAAAGTGGCGTTTAACCCAACTCACTCACTTACTCGCTCACTCATGACGTCCACTGGCTGTTCCATAGAGCATCTTGACCACATGCAATTAGAAAATGATACTTTACTTATACAATCCTTTTATTGAGTGCATACAGTGCATCCAAATCATGTAGCACTGACATTGCATCCCGCGACCTTCATCTCAACTCAGACGTCCTCTGACTTGACTCCAGAGTTATAACACGAAGTCGATATAGACTTCCGATCATCCCTGAAGCAACGTGAAACTACCACTATCATTCACATGTCACCTTTTGATGTCTCGTTTATGTACATATGACCCCAAAACTAAAAATATAAAATCCAAATCATGTGACCAAACAATGATAATTGAAATACTAACACGCAGACCACAAATTTGAGCCTCTGTCCAGAAATCCAAGCGCAACGGTCCGTGACAGAAACTTTTATAAGGAAGGCTGGAGAAAAGAATTACACCCTGCTTCATTATCATATACAATACCGAGACAGAGGTTGCCTTTCATTTTTGATATTATGCATATTTCAAAATGCTCACTTTATATTTATCTTCTTGCAGAACTACACAAAATATCGAGTGACGGTAACTCCAGTATTGACGCCAGGTATGTTTCCAAATGTGGGTGACTGAGTGAGTTTTGGGTTAAACGCTGCTTCGAACAGTATTTCAGTTATGTCACTGCTTGTCAGTTTGACGTCATAGTAAAGGAATGGAGGTGTTTGTACTTTTACAACTTTGATAACAAGGACAGGCATGATACCGACAAAACTCGGACCGTATTAAGGGCTAATAACGGCGTCTAAGAGATCACAGCATTATATGCCTCCTATTTCCAAGAGAACTATTACCACTCTGCATAGAATTCCACGGCAGACTGACTTTGTGTCCGTGTTTTTGTACAGAAAGACTGCCATGATCAGATTGACATGACATCTGAATTTAAGTTCTAGTTGATTTAGGAAAACAAATAAATATACCTTATCGTTCTTTGGACGAATAAGGTAAATTCCGACATGGCTTTCAGCTAAATATAATTGTAAATTCAAGATAATAGCAAGTCTTGATTGCCTGCCGAAACAGATTCCATTTGGCGTATTAGGCTAAATAGCTGTGAAAATTATATGAATGGATAATTATACTGAAATCAGTGATGACACGAGGTGTACGCGAAAAAGGTAAGCATGCCCAACCAAACAGCCATTCATACAATTTGCATAAACAAGTCATCGAACAAATTCAAACCATTAAGCCTTGCATATTCCTAATCTGCCATCAGTAAAAACGCTAGAGGAGTAAGGAGCCAACTGATTATGGCAGTAACAAATCTAAGACAGTATGATATAGAAAGGTTTTATAGCATACGCGAGGTGCACACTAATGCCTGTTTGAGGAATGTAGTCATGGTTTGTTTGTTTATATGGTGTTTAACGCTGCACTCGGCAATATTTCATCTATATGGCGGCGTATGTAAGATCATGGACCACACTCAGCAATATTCCAGTTTTATGATGGCGGTCTGTAAATAATCGAGTCTGGGCCAGACAATCCAGTTTTGACATCATGAGCATCAATTTGCGCAATTCGGATACGATGACATGCATTAACCAAGGCAGAAAGCCTGATCATCAAATCACGTGATCGTCTTTTTCGACAATCATTTGTTGTTGACCATGCCGACATGTCAATTTCAACTTTTAGTAAGTTTTCAAACAGCTTCTCGTACACTGGATCCCTCGACAGAATGTATTGCACATCAACAGGTAACGCTTTTACTCAGGTCAAGAATGCTACAAACCGAACACGGAAGAGCTGCTTCTCAACGCGACTGTTGTCAAGACAAGAGCCTTCTGTAATGGCTATCATAGTATTCTTTTAGTAAACCAGATCCTCGTTAATCCAGATAGTTTCAATTGATTTCATACCGTGAAAATACGTACCTCTGTGTACATGCCTTGACTTTTGTATTTTATATGTCACGCTTTTGCTCAGGGCAAGATTGTTACATACCGGGTACAGAACAGCTGCTTCAAGACGGGACTGTTGTCAAGACAAGATCCTTCTACAATGGCACGTCAAATGTCACCCTTTCAGGCAGAGAATGTCAGATGTGGGCTGCACACAATACCCACAATCATCACGGTAATGGCGACGACCCTACACATTTCGCGACTGGAGAAACTATGGATGAAGTAGCGAACTACTGCCGTGTTGTACTTCCTGATCCAGAGGATATACCGTGGTGCTACACAACAGATCCCAGCAAGCGCTGGGACAATTGCACCATAACTGAATGCACCTAGTTGCCATGGGACCCATGCAGCATAACTGAATGCACCTCGCAGTCCCGGGACCAATGCAACATAAATGAATGCACCCAGCACTCTCGGGACCAATGCAACATAACTGAATGCACCCAGCACTCTCGGGACCAATGCAACATAACTGAATGCACCTTGCAGTCGTGGGACCAATGCAACATCACTGAATGCACCTAGCACTCTCAGGACCAATGCAACATAACTGAATGCACCTTGCACTCTCGGGACCAATACAACATAACTAAATGCACCTTGCAGTCTCGTGACCAATGCAACATAACTGAATGCACCTTGCAGTCTCGTGACCAATGCAACATAACTGAATGCACCTTGCAGTCTCGTGACCAATGCAACATAACTGAACGCACCTTGCAGTCTCGGGACCAATGCAACATAACTGAATGCACCTTGCAGTCTCGGGACCAATGCAACATAACTGAATGCACCTTGCAGTTTCGGGACCAATGCAACATAACTGAATGCACCTTGCAGTCTCGTGACCAATGCAACATAACTGAATGCACCTTGCAGTCGTGGGACCAATGCAACATAACTGAATGCACCTTGCAGTCGTGGGACCAATGCAACATAACTGAATGCACCTTGCAGTCGTGGGACCAATGCAACATCACTGAATAAACCTAGCACTCTCGGGAGCAATGCAACATAACTGAATGCACCTTGCAGTCTCGGGACCAATGCAACATAACTGAATGCACCTTGCAGTCTCGGGACCAATGCAACATAACTGAATGCACCTAGCACTCTCGGGAGCAATGCAACATCACTGAATAAAACCTAGCACTCTCGGGAGCAATGCAACATAACTGAATGCACCTTGCAGTCTCGGGACCAATGCAACATAACTGAATGCACCTTGCAGTCCCGGGACCAATGCAACATAACTGAATGCACCTAGCACTCTCGGGACCAATGCAACATAACTGAATGCACCTAGCACTCTCGGGACCAATGCAACATAACTGAATGCACCTTGCAGTCGTGGGACCAATGCAACATAACTGAATGCACCTTGCAGGCTCGGGACCAATGCAACATAACTGAATGCACCTTGCAGTCGTGGGACCAATGCAACATAACTGAATGCAGCCTGCAGTCGTGGGACCAATGCAACATAACTGAATGCACCTTGCAGTCGTGGGACCAATGCAACATAACTGAATGCACCTTGCAGTCGTGGGACCAATGAACATAACTGATTTACCAAGATATGTGGTAGCCTGTTACGAACAGCATACACGTAGGTTGTTAACCTTGAATCCACACCAGTGATGAATAGGAAACGCCGGTTTTAACGCAGGTACGGCGTGACGTCACAGTACTTAAACAACTAGCAAGGTGTTCTGCATCAAAGGGACGGCATTCTGATTGGTTAATCATGTCCGAGACGGTGAGCTCACACTAAAAATAGAGATCAGTAGCCAGTGTATTTCAAGGTGTGTTGCAATAACCGGGAAATCCCGCGCTATAGAGAGATCAACGGTTATACATTCAAACATTGTCTAATAAGTATCAAAGTCTGTAGTATAGTATGTATGAAATTCCTTTGAAATAATGAGGAAGCAATGTTGTTAGTTCTTTTATTTTTACATTAGTTGCATAGGTAGAGGAGAATTGTTTTGTTACTGTAAACAGAGTGATGAACTAGGTCACATAACTGCCTTGTCCACTGAAGGCAATCAGCTGTGTAGACAAACCTTTGTGGAAGGCAGCCCTCTGTCTGTATCCACACACAAGTACGTTTGTCATTGAATGTAGCCCAGCTCCGTCTCTATAGTTATGAATGGCTATGTAGTTGATAAATATTTAAGCTCTATTTACATCGTGTAGGCTTCATTTCACGTGTAACCATGCCTGCTGACGGATGGAAAGCATATGTGTCTACTATTTATTTTAACCTTGCTATAGGCAAATGACATTTGAGGAAATCATTATTATTTGGGGATTCGTTACATAATACACCGGACGCTTGGACAACGAGGTCGTGTTATCGTCCGTGAGGTCGGGTCTGATTGTATCAGTGTAGGGTTTCACATCTCCATGTCCCTGAATGTCATCTCTGTAGCGCATACATATCATCATGACCTGTTGTAGGACATGGAGGTCGGTTCTTCCAACTCTACTGATCCCACCTGATCTTCAGCACTATCCAAATAAAAACCCGTGTTGACGGGTCAGTGGGATGCGAATGCATGCTCCCCGTACCCTTAGACCAGCCTCGTGAAGTAGATTACACACAAAGTAGATACGTTGACATCACTGTCATTCCTCAGGTCATTTGTGTGTGTGCTGGCAGTCACGAAGTAATGACGTCTGATCTTTCTAAAATTAGAAATAATCTCCCTGTCGACACAGCAGTAAATCTGCAAATATACGTTTGGTATAGTATAACTTTGGACTTTGGTCGCAAGGAAAATGTTTGTCTATCTACTCCCTGTTGTACCATTCCAAAATATAAGTTAAAATTAAACCCTCAGAATCAGGCTTTCTATCAACTTCCCTGCAAAACTCTCACTGCAGTCCATCGAGGTTGGTACACTTTAAAACTACTCAGCCACAATCCTTTGTCCCAGATGATGACAAAAAATTCCACAGAATCCCAAGTCAGTCGCATTTAATCAAATAATTGCATCAGGACAAACATGACATCATCAAACTCACAAATCATCAAAATCATATTGATGAGTTACGATATTGACACGTTGGCTGATAACAGATATTTTTCTTTTCTTCTGTACGGTTCGGATTCGACACTCAAGTCAAGTGTCTATCACCGTCACATCAAGTTTCAATCTCAATCTTGCAGAAAATCTTGTTCGGTTGGTTTCTGTTATGTGTTGTTGTTGTTGTTGTTGTTGTTGTTGTTTAAAAAAGCAATCATTACAACGTAATGAATTGTTGCTTTAAGAAAATAATTGTTTGCCGTCTTTCGAAGAATATTTCTTTTACGTCACGTTTGGAAAACGTACCAAGGAAACCTACCACCCCTTTCCCAGACGAGTTCAATTACCATCTCGTGCCATTCCAGATTTCTCCCTGGCATGAAAGAGGTCGATATAAAATTGGTCATGGTAGAAGGAAGACCAACCTACAGTGTTTGAAAAATGTATGACGCCAGCGCTGCTTTGAAAAGAATACTTAATTGTTTAAATGTAAGATGTGTCTGAAGATGACTCAAGAAGTACTTAACGGTACTGGTATTTGTATTGCATGATCATGGGAAACATCGCTGGTAGTTCTGAGAGTTAAGTATTTGTGTCAAAATGTTGATGAATTCGTAGTGAAACAAGTTCTTCAATCCAATGTCTTGACAGTCACTGTAACAAGAAGCATGTCATGCTTCACATGTGATGTAATGAGTCTATCGTCTGTCAGAAGATTTCACTGTCTGGGTACATCAGATTGAATGTCATGCATCGGGGAACAATATGTGGTTACATAAATACACGTTTTTCTTGGTGTCAGTACCACATGCCCGTGCTCGTGCGTTTTACACAAGTGGTAAATGTCCATGCCCAATTGGGGTTTTCGTCCCACATCAAACTGACAAGGGTTATAACGGGAATATTGTAGAAAGCGGCTCTCACTGGTACCAGGGTGTCAAACTGTTACAACACTTAAATTGCGAGACATGCTATTACAAATAGACATTCAGGTTAATGTTCCCTTGAATGTACTCTGAACAATATTCAGGCCAGTCACTGCTGCAATGATGTTCGATGTTTACCATAACAACAACGCCATTACACAATGCTTCTGGAGACCAGTGAAGATCTGGGATAGAATAAGTCTTCAACAACTCACGCTTGCTTAAAAGGTGACTACGCTCATCATAAGATGTGACTGATGGGATCGGGTGGTCAGGCTCGCTCACTTGGTTGACGCATGTCATCGTATCCCAATTATCTTGATCGATGCTCATGATGTCAATCACTCGATTGTCTGGCCCCTACTCGATTATTTACAAACCGCCGTCATATAGATGGAATATTGCTAAATGCGGCGTTAAACAACACACGAAAAAAACAATGCTTCTGGGCTCTCTGGCATATGCTCTATACCCCCTATAGACCACGAAGGTGGTCCTTTGTTGTTTCCTGCCAGACTATATGTAATGGAATCGAGATCAGACAAACCAGTGACTTTAATATTGTTGGGGCGGAGTGGACAAGCGGTCAAGACAGTCATGCCAGCAAGCGCCATGAGCTGAGATCGTATCCCGCTCGTGACCAGGTTGTTATTTAGCCTTGGGACCAAGAATGTTTACAGGTTTTTTACAGTGTTGTCACTCTCCCTAGTGTACAGCGTATTCACCATTTGCAGTCAAAAGAGCCCACTCATGCAGATGGTAGAAACACGAATATGTTCATTCACCCGAAACACAAGTGTCAAAACCTGTGGTGTCCCCCTGGGCAAGTGACTTAGTTCAAATGTGATTATGTTTACCCTGAGGGAATGGGTACCCGATGTGTAAGGTGTATGTTAAAACACTATAGTACCTGTATACTCCCCAGGGATTTGAGAATGATAACGGTAATGCTTACGGATCCACTGGTAGGGGAAACGTCCCTCAACCTCTGGAGACCCTCCCAGCCAACGTATGACATCCACCCTCCCATCTCCTGTGACCCTATCATACCAACTCATGAGCCTCGCATAACATCCTCATTGGGGCGGTGCGTTCATTCGTCACGCCTAAGTGCAGGGTTTGATTCCCGACATGGGTACATTGTGTGAAGCCCATTCCTGGTGTTCCCTCCGTGATATTGATGGATTACTAAAAGCGGTGTAAAACCATAGTCGTGCACTCATTCACTGAACAACCTCATGATACCCGAGTCTTCTGCTGTTAATATCTCTGAGAAGCAACATATGCACCGAAAGGAAAAAGAAACGTCACTACTGAAAATACTGATAAAGCTTAACAGACACTGGCAGTTACATGTTCTGTGGTCAATAAACTCATTTACCGTTCTACTGCTTCTTCTTGTTGCCTTAAAGTCCAATTATCAATTGAGTTTAAAGTGGAGTGCTTTCCCCAAACGTAGCCTACAAAAGGGACTGTCAAAAACATGATGCATGTGCATATCGTGGATGGTATGGGTATAAAAGACACCCGAAACTGTTAAGCTGGCTTTCGTTATTTCGATTTATCGGCGGCCCAAGACTCATGGTTTGGGGTGGAATCGGACTGAACCTGAGAGTGGGACCTATGGTCTTTCAGAATATTGGTCCGGGCAGGGGTAATGGCATCACAGCTTTCCGCTACATTGACATAGTCCTCAGACCCCATATCATGCCTTTTTTTGCCCGTCATCAAAACCACACCTTTCAGCAAGACAACGACCGTCCCCACACTGTCAGAGTCACCAGGGACTTCCTCCAGCAGTACAACATCCAAATCATGCCTTGGCCTGCTCTCAGTCCGGATTTGAATCCCATTGAACACTTGTGGGATGAGATCCAACGCCGACTCAACGACGTACGCCCAAGGCCGACAACTGCAGCAGAGCTGTGTGCAGCGTTCCTGAGGATATTGGCCCATATCCCAATGGCCTTCATCAACAGGCTAGTCCACGCCATGTAAAGGAGATGTGTGGCTGTTGTCAACGCCCGTCGTGGCCACGCCAGGTACTGATTTTGAACCCCCCAGGTGTGATGTCTTCTGGTGCCTCCACAAATTCACAATTCGGAAAAACATTCCCCAGACTGTTAATTTCATGTGGGTCAAACACTGACTTTCTCCGATGTCTTTACTTACATATATAAGCATTTGAAAATAAAGATATTTATATTTATACATCCACATGACGTTTCTTTTGCCTTTCAGTGTATATGGCTGCAGTCAGGTATATCCACAAACTGTCGCTAAAGTCCACATCATGCTGCCAGCCCGTCACGAAGATAAGACAGATATATTGTAGCGTACACACCAAACCGATGATAAATTCCGCAGGTTTCATAGATTATTGTAAGATTTCAACAAATTTAATAAACCCTGTATAAATATTTTATCCATTTGTTTTGTTTAACATGATTTTAATACTTTATTGCATACGTTTATCACATAAAAAGGTACGCATGTCTGCTTACAATGTGTAGACAGGTTTTAAATTGTATAGTGATGACCTATAGCGAAACGACAAATGATAATAGAATAAAGAAGTTGTCATCTTTGAAATAGCTTGCCATTAGTGCAACTTGGTTTAAACATGTCATCCATACCAATTGTGTGGATCGATGCTCATGATTCCAATCACTGGATTATTTACAGACTCGATTATTTACAGACCTCCGACATATAGCAGGAATATTGCTGAGTGTGGCGTTAAACAAAAAAACAATCAATCAATACTAATTAACAAACTTCAGAAAAGCCAGTTAAACAGTTCTAAAGATATTCCATATGATCTTCAGAGTATTCAGAGCAATTTATTGTAAACAGTATCATTACTCCAAGAAGATACACTATCAGACAGAGAACATTGCCTTGGCTGGTGTCATCCATGAAATAGCTTGCCATTAGTGTAACTTGATTTAAACATGTCATCGATACCAATTGTGTGGATCGATGCTCATTATGCCAATCACTGGATTATTTACACACCTCCGTCATATAGCAGGAATATTGCTGAGTGTGGCGTTAAACAAAAAAACAATCAATCAATACTATAACCAACTTCATAAAAGCCAGTTAAACAGTTCTAAGGATATTCCATATGATCAAACAGTATCATTACTCCAAGAAGATACACTATCAGACAGAGAACATTGCCTTGGCTGGTGCTGAAAGCATACTGGTTGCACGATTGGCCCGGTGGAGAACAATCGATCAAAAGTTTTCTTAACAGAGGTTGATCGGGTTTCTTCACTGCTGTGTAGACGAACATTATGTTAGAGATTGTGGTTGTATTATACTCTTACTTATGTCTGCCAAGACAAAACGTTTGCAGAGATGAGAACAGATCCACCCAACTGAACAACAATCACACGGTGGTCTCTAGTAGAGACTATCACAGCAAATCAGCCCTCTCTATATGGATGACTTACTGTATCAACTGAACGACACCGTTTAAGGACATAATCTCCCCATGGGGACAGTGTCCCGGTGTACTCCTTGCAGATGATGCAGCCTTCTACTACATACTACTGAAATGAACCGAAGGCAGTTCAAATACAATGCAAGGAAAAGTGCATTACATATTACCATTCAGACGTGCACGAAAACTGGCGCCATCCTCCAACTATCTAGGAGAAATCAAACTCCCAGTAAAGGATTCTGTTAAATATGCTGGTGCATTTATCTGTACAGGCAGATCATTCCTTGAGCGTCCGACCCTAGCTTGTGAGAAACTGAGAAACATGAGTAATATTGATCACAAGCTTTGTTTGTACTTTGGTGATCTTAAACCAATTGCTGCTGTTCGTATATGGGAAAGTTTTACCATGTGGTCTATATGGCTATAATGTGTGGGCAAGGCTCTCGCTGAAAGACTATGAAATTTTAGAAATAAGACAATGATTCTTCTGCAAGAAAATGCAAGGGTTTCCAAAACAAACATATCCCTTCAAAGATATTTAGATAGATCAGTGTGTACCTCTTCTCTTGGGGAAACTTCTTAACACCAAAATCAATGTTTATCTTTAAACATCTATTCATTGCCAGGCCAGCACAGTATAAATGCAAAATAGCAGTCGTTGAAAAGCGGAACGGGATATGAAGTCGCCAATTTTTAACATGTTACAATAAAAACTGGGTGATGAAATAGACAACTTTGTATATAATTCTTGTTTTATTCAGGAGAAATGTTGGACCCAATTAGTAAAGCGAAGTGTACGCCACCATGATACATTAGCAATAGAAAGGGAACTTCAGACCAGTTTAGACCCGTGAAGATTTCGGGGTAGAATAGGTCTTCAGCAACCCATGCTTGCCGTAAAAGGTGACTATGCTTGTCGTAAGAGGCGACTAACGGGATCGGGTGGTCAGGCTCGCGGACTAGGTCGATACATGTCATCGATCCCAGTTACGTGGATCATGATATAAATCACTGGATTGTCTGGTCCAGACTCGATTATTTACAAACCGCCGTCAAATAGCTAGAATATTGCTGAGTGCGGCGTTAAACAACAAATCAACCAACCAACCAAAAATCAGACCAGATAACCACTGTCTAGATATATCGTCATCAGATCCGGTAGTGCACAGAGGTTATGAAAACTTGCTAACTTCCACTCAGAAAACTTTGCTGACATTGCTAGGCTTGCTGGCATAGGGTCATCCTCTGTACAGCCAAAAGAATGTCAATGTGGCACATTTGCTAATGATTTTGTTGAACACGTTTTTATGTCAAATCGACCTCAACGAAGGAGACCTCCTTTTAAATGAAGATGACGTATTTGTATCTCTGTTCGTTGGGGGTATACCTGCTTAATGTGAAACAAGTTTAGATTTCCATGCATCGCAGCAGATGGCCCTCACCATATGTCGCGCAAAAAGAAAGTGGGCGTTTCTGTTATAACAATGTATATATACTGTTACTGTTGATTTCCACTGTTACTGTAATAACTATACATATATATCCTGTAATCGTCTTATTACAGAGGAAGAAAATCTATCTATCATTCGTCTGCCTTTGATGATGTAATCAAACAACACCCATTTTTAATATTATCCAATGAGCTTGTCAAAACCTTTTTATTCTTTTGTACGTCTTGCTTCATAAGCTGTTATATTCATTCATTATCCGTGTGCTATTTGTAATGCTTACTGTACACTTTGCTTTATCTAATTATCTGTGTGCTACTTGTTATCTATTAGCTGTTGTCAATGACAA